TGTTTTTTGAAACATTGGGAGACGACGTAATAATCAATGATTGAGGATTTTATAACGTATGGTAATTATAAAAGTTCTGATGAAGTTATTGAAAGTTCGCTGCCTTGCCTTATTAATACGTTATCTTCGCTGAATTTAATAAGCATAAAAGGATTAATTCAAATATACGTATCTTGATTCTATAAAGTATACACAAAATATAAACAATAATTTACACTCGATTATTCTTCTATCGCTTTGTCTATTTGGTTGGGACATATTGGTACTCTATTAATGACATATTATTTTCGAGATTTAGCGTTATACTTTTTCCATTGACACCCGACATTGTGCCATTACTATTATTATTATTGCTCTGTTGATTATGACTTGAAGAATCTCTAATAACAATATCATCAAAAGTTAAAGGTATTATTTCTCCCTTTGCAATATGATCAACCACGATGCGCATAAATCCTCGATACATTTCTACACGCGCGTTATGTATGGCGAGTGTTGTTGATGATGGGGGAAGCGAGGATTGAAGGAGGTGTATTTGGTGATCTAAAAATGGGATCATTTAATCAAGAGAATTTAGGTATGAATGGATGTTTCTAAACACTTACCTCCTACAGCCTTCACTATCATACATCCGCTCGAATCAGCAACAAGAAATTCCGCAATTTTCAAATTTTTCTGAACTTTTTTTTTATTGCATTTATTTAATTCAGATGCATCATCAACACATGACGATACATTGTTACTATCACAATATACGAAACGGACACGTACAATTAGAATTACTGTCACCATTAGCGTCTCTGTCATCTATCACACCCAACATAATCTGCTGCATTACTTTTACGCGTAAGTTGACTTGATGTTGTGCAGGGAGTACCTCGGCAACCTTAATATCTATCGCCCCAGACATGTAAAAGTTGTTAAAATTATTATCAAAAAGTAAATAGACAGCGAGACACTAGGAATTTTTGTATTTGAGCATTATTCTTACAATTTATCGAAGACATATTTAATTTGCTACCCAACGATATATGAAAATCAAATGGTGGGTGCAAATCAATACATTAGGGTGTTACATATCAATAGTGGAGCACCACATGATTGGCATAAAGAGTCTAACCTTTTTATAGTAATTTGATTAATTTTTTTCTACATAAAGTTAGAACATTTTAAAGATTATTGATTTTATTGATTGGCAAAAATCTGGAATTCAATCTGATTTAATATCACTTTATCAGCAACTAGTGATTTTTTTTATTTTTTTTTATTTAATCTTGTTAAACGAATAACACCATCTACATGTATAATACAGAGTGATAATTTATATATACATAAATAAAATATATACATATAAATTTTTACGTATGTTAGAGATTCTATTATATATTATGTCTTGGTTGCTTCAAACTCTCTTGATGAGAATTTTAGGCTGTTGCATTCTCAAATGCAAGGATTTGCCTTGCTTATCATACAACGCCGTTCAAAACTCAACTTTTTTTAATAAATTAATTGAATTGGGAAAAAAATAAAAACTTTTTTACTTATTTTTTTTTTTTACAATGAAGGAGCGAAAGTAACAATAAATTTTCAGAATTAAAAAAAAATAGATAATGAAAAAAAATGAATGAATTACTTAAGAATCTAGTTGAAACACGCATTGTCTAACCTTTTCTTTAGTTTTAGTTTAACACTAGAAAAAAAAAATATCGGCTACTAAGGATTTTCTCATTGTTTTTTAAAAAGAGCGCCTGTACACATAGATGCATGCACATGCATTTTTTCATGTACAAACAACGATAAATCCTAATTGTAGTAATAAAAATTTCCGATTGATTTTTGAGCATTTGTGTTTTTTTATGGAGGAGAAAGAGAATAGTGATTATAACAATGTGGTATTTGTACGTGTCATGAAGATCGAACAATACTTCGAATTCTTCTTATTATATCATCGGTTATTATCAATAACATAATTAATAACGACAATAAATATAAAT